AAACTTAAGAAATTATATTTGTCCAGTATTTTACAGTGGTGCCACTTCAATGGTTTTTGGTCTAAAACTTTCAGAGCTTGTGAATACAACATCCTCAGGTTTTAAAGCAGACAGAGTGGCTTGGCTCCAGACAGTGACACAATATGAGAAATGAGACAGAATCATGGCTGTAGGTACAACTGAGCAGACTTTACACATAAACATGATCTTATGAGACAAAAACAATTTAGGTTTGTCTTTAAACACTGTCCTAATGCGAGCCTCAGAGTTAAGATGGGAATCTAGAATGACACCCAGATATTTAAACTCATCCACTTTTTGGATTTCGCTCTAATCAATCACAAGTGAAAAGTTATTAGAGACTTTACTGCAGATAGTGAAACACATGGACACTGATTTATTGCAGTTCAGAGTCAAACAGTGATTCTTAAACCACTGAGACACTCCCTCCATCTCCCTGTTCAGTAACTCTATTCAATTCAATTCAATTCAGTTTATTTCTATAGCGCCAAATCACAACAAAGTTGTCTCAGGGCACTTTACAGGAACATTCACATACATAATCTGCAGCCTGTTGTGGAGTCTTTGCGGGTACATACAGTATAAAATGGTGTTATCTGCATACATCTGACATTTATCATATTTGCAACGGTCCAGTGTGTCGTTGTATAAACAGAAAAGCAACGACCCTAAGATGGAACCCTGTGGAAGTCCCACTGTACATTTTTGGGGGATAGATTTAATTCCATTAACTTTGACACACTGTTCTCTATTTTTTAGATATGTTAAACTGACAGCTAACTGGGAGAAGTTATACTTTTTAAATGTATGTAGGAGCATGTCATGATTCACTGTATCGAAGGATTTTCTCTAGTCCAGGAACACAGCTCCAACTACCTTACCATCATCTTAAAAGCAGTTTATCCTCAGGTGTGGTGCCAAAGACTTTTAAACATGCTGCTGTCCAGCCCCTCCTGAAAAAACCTAACCTTGACCCCTCAGTCATGTCCAACTTCCGGCCTGTCTCCAGACTCCCATTCACCTCTAAACTACTGGAAAAA